ACAGATCAAAGCACTGTAGGTACACAATGTAGGTTTAACACTAGTATTTAGCATCTCTGACATCACCTTTGCAGCTTCTGTCATCTTATTTGCTTTCCCTAGTGAATCAATAAGAACTGTATACGTCACTGCATCAGGATTTCTGCCAGAGAATTTCATGTCTCTGTAAATTTTCAGTGCAAGCTCATGCTTACCCTGCTTCCCATACATATGAATGATAGTATTATAGGTCATCTCATCTTTACAAAATCCCATCTTCACCATTTCTTCACAAACTTCCTTCACCTTCTCCAAATTCCCTTCTCTTGCAAATGCATAGACTACTGAATTGTATGTAACTGCATCTGGGGAAAAACCCTTCGATCCCAACTCCTTAAAGAGCCGTTCAGCCTCACCAGCCAATCCACATCTTCCAAACACAGAAATCATGGCATTATAAGTCCATAAATCAGGTTGACATTTGTGCGCTTCCATGTCATCAAAAACCTTCGCAGCTTCTTCCAAATTGGACTCACGTGAACAAGCACTGATAAGAGTGTTGTAAGTAATTATATCAGGTCGAATCCCTGACCTTCTAACTTCACTTAAAAGTTCAATCCCCAAGTTTGGCGTCATAGGCCCTGATTTCAAACGTGCATTTATCAGAGTATTAAAACTTACAAGGTCTGGCTCACAGCCACGTTCTCTCATCAAATTAAGCAATTCCTGAACTTCGGCAAACCGACCATTCCGAGCATAAACCCCCATCATCGCATTGTAAACTTGGACTATATTACCTACCGAAGGCTGCGCCCGAGTAAATATCTCCACAGCTAACGCTTCCTGGTTTGCCTTTCCAAGCAGGGAAAGTATTGTGGCAAGCATTCGAGCATTGGGAGAGTACCAATGCCGGAGATTTAACCATTCATAAACCTCCAACGCTCTATGCCAACTAGCCTGACCGACCCATTTCACCAGAAAGCAAAAATCAGTAGGGGTCATTTGCACCATCTTCTTGTCCAAAACATCAGCTACAAACTCCTCAGACTTCAATTCTAAAATCATATCGGTCAAAAATTGTACTCTCTTTTGCCAGTCTTTTGCCCTTTTCAATGCCAGTTTATTCATTTTCTTTACCGTATTCCTACTAATCCTCCTATCCAAAACCTCAACATATTCATCATTCATTCTATCCACAGTCAATAACTCCTCTTCACTTCCTATTCCATTTTTATCTTTACCTTCAGAATCTTGTACATTTCCAACATCGGTCAGTGGGGGAGGGTTAACAATGAATGAGGAATCATGTAAATACTTGTGGGTATCTATGAATTTTGAGTTGGGCCATCTCACAGATGGTGAGGCTCTACTATAACTAAATTTTTTAGCAGTTTCTGGTTCACTACCAGTATTTGTACAAACAGAAGTTGAGCAGCAAGGAACATAAGTTTTCTTGTGTACCTTTGATTTTCTGCGTATGGGTAATGACAGTGGAGTGACGATTAGCATTCCAGTGAAACTCATGCCCTCTGAAATTGATTTTATTTCTGGGCTCTTTCATAAGTTGTCAAGACGTCGATTTGGTATGGGAAAAAATGGAATTTTGGCATGTTGAATAGATTTATTTCGTCTATAAGATAATTGTATATGTACACGGGAAAAATATGTACAGTACATTCAAGATTAGAAGGGGCTATATTTCTAAAAGATAAGACGCATGTAAGGCGGATATTTTCTTTTGGTGGTTTGTTCTTTTATCTGGCTTCAAACCAGAAAGGGTAGAATGGGAGGAAGACGCACAACAGAGGACCCCGCTCGAGTGGATTCCACAACCATGTGAATGTGCGGACGGGATTATGTACATAAAATTATTTATAAGTAGCTTTATTCTGGAAAAATTGGTGAAAGCTGACCTCTTGTTCAAAAGTGGTGCATATGGGTCTCTTCTTGAAAGTATGACCAAGCGAGTATATTAAGATAAAATCAATATATAATCCTAAAAATGATAGCAGAGTATAAATTTTATCCACGATTGATATCAATTGAGTCACTAGTTGCCAGGTTGGAAAAAATTTATAAACGATTTGATAAATAGATAAAATGAATGGCAAATAATTGAATAGTACTATGATCTATAAAAATACGTTGTTGAAGTGAAAGTTGATCTATTATAAATAATTTATTATATTATAAATTAGCCAAACAGTGTTGGATCTCTAAACTTAGTTCATAACTTTATCACATTTTGTCATATATCTTTCTTTTAAAAAAAAAAAAAAATTGGTTGGTCGTTGTGCAATACGAAAACAAAAACAAAATAAAAATAGCAATACTCGTATTATAACATCTTTTAAAATAAAAATGTTAAAATGCACTATTTAACACTTTTATAGTGTGAATTCACATGTCATACAATGATTGCCTAAAAGATACTTTTGCGAGATAATTGTTAATTAAATAATTTTCATCAAATTAGGAGACCATACACGATATAGAAGTAAAATTTTAAACTTAATTGAACTTTATATATATATATATATATATATATATATATAATACACTCTCTATTTATTTTTTGCAAACTGTAAATCATATTTTTACATGATATATTTTAGTTATTGATATCAAAAAAAAAAATTCAGATAAAATAGAGATATTTATAGTTATTTGTATATAAAAATGCCAAAAATACCATTAACTGAAAATTATAAATCATACAAAATATATTAAACTATGTAACAATCCACACACCAATTGTTGACTATTTTATTATTCCTTGAAAGTTTAATCGCTAAAAGCTTATGACATTTCATTACTTTTTTTCTCTAAAATAAAAGATGGTTAAGGGTGTTTACAAAAGTTACGAAGTTCATTCTTTTCCTAACTACAACTTAAAAATTAGAAAAATAAATTTAATAAATTAATGGTACCGAAAAATATAGCAAAAACTCCATTTGATTTCTTTCCATCATTTAGTTTAAATAAATTTATTTTTTAGTAAGGTGAGGAATTCTTGTACCGTTTTGTAACTTGACAAATTTTAAAGTATTTATAAACAAAATTTTAGCACCTGTTCTTAGTTTTCTTTTTACGAGAGAGTGTAAGAAAAGAAGACACGTATAAATATTATTAATAAAAATATGAAATTATGTCTAAAAAAGAAAATAAAAACATTTCATGACAAAAGCTTAAAATTAACTTATAAAATAGAGAAATCTTAGACCCAAAAAAAAAAAAATGAATGAAAGAATAATAAAAATTTAAATATTGAAAAAATCATGAAAGGTATATAAAGTGTTACGTAAGTTAGAAAAAAATGATGATGATGATGATGATAATAAGAGGGAACGACATAAAAAAGAGAACTGCACTACATTTAGGGTGTGTTTGATTACATTTATTTTCCATGGAAAATATCAGTTTTCCATCCAAATTTTCACTTTGAGTGTTTGATTGCTATTTTTTTCCATGGAAAACATTTTCCAACTTTTGAAAATATGCCTAATTTTCCTTGTTTTTAAGGAAAATATTTTCCTTGGATAGAGGTGGTTTTTATTTTCCACAAAAGATGGAAAATATTTTCTTTTCTAGGTAATATTTTCCATGTCAATCAAACACACCCTTATAGAAAGGAATTGCATCACACACTATTCATGGCGTGGGTGGTTTTCTAACTTACGTAACACTTTATATACCTTTCATGATTTTTTCAGTATTTAAATTTTTATTATTCTTTCATTCATTTTTATTTTATTTTTTTGGTCTTAGATATCTCTATTTTATAAGTTAATTTTAAGCTATTGTCATGAAATGTTTTTATTTTCATTTTTAGACATAATTTCATATTTTTATTAATAATATTTATATGTGTCTTCTTTTCTTACACTCTTTCGTAAAAAGAAAACTAAGAACAGGTGCTAAAATTTTGTTTATAAATACTTTAAAATTTGTCAAGTTACAGAACGGTACAAGAATTCCTCACCTTACTAAAAAATAAATTTATTTAAACTAAATGATGGAAAGAAATCAAATGGAGTTTTTGCTATGTTTTTCGGTACTATTAATTTATTAAATTTATTTTTCTAATTTTTAAGTTGTAGTTAGGAAAAGAATGAACTTCGTAACTTTTGTAAACACTCTTAACCATCTTTTATTTTAGAGAAAAAGTAATGAAATGTCATAAGCTTTTAGCGATTAAACTTTCAAGGAATAATAAAATAGTCAACGATTGGTGTGTGGATTGTTATATAGTTCAATATATTTTGTATGATTTATTATTTTCAGTTAATGGTATTTTTGGCATGTTTATATACAAATAACTATAAATATCATTATTTCATCTGGAAAAAAAAAGTGCTTTTTGATACCAATAACTAAAATATATCATGTAAAATGTAAAAATATGATTTACAGTTTGCAGAACATAAATGGAGAGTGTATTATATACATATAAAGTTCAATTAAGTTTAAAATTTTACTACTATGTCGCGTATGGTCTCCTAATTTGATGAAAATTATTTAATTAACAATCATCTCACAAAAAGTATCTTTGTGCAATCACTGTATGACATGTGAATTCACACTATAAAAGTGTTAAATAGTGCATTTTAACATTTTTATTTTAAAAGATGTTATAATACGAGTATTGCCATTTTTATTTTATTTTTTTGTTTTTGTTTTTACATTGCACGACTACCAACCATTTTTATTTTTTTTAAAGAAAGATATATGACAAAATGTGACAAAGTTATGAACTAAATTTAGATATCCAACTCCGTTTGGCTAATTTATAATATAATAAATTATTTATAATAAATCAACTTTCATTTCAACAGCGTATTTTTATAGATCATGGTACTATTCAATTATTTGCCATTCATTTTATCTATTTATCAAATCGTTTATAAATTTTTCCAACCGGGCAACTAGTGAGTCAATTGATATCAACGGCGGATAAAATTTACACTCTTCTATCATTTTTAGGATTATATATTGATTTTATCTTAATACTTGCTTGGTCATGCTTTCGAGAAGAGAACCATATGCACCACTTTTGAAAATGAGGTCAGTTTTCACCAATTTCTCCAGAATAACTACTTATAAATAATTTTATGTACATAACCCTATCCGCACATTCACATGATCGTGGAATCCACTCGAGCGGGTTCCTCTCTGCACAGTGTCTTGCTCCCATCCTCCCGTTTCTGGTTTGAAGCCAAATAAAAGAACAAGGGTTTCAAGGACCCATCCCATATGAATTTTCTGGATTTATTCTGTGGGAAGGATTCTGTACAATCAGAATCACTGTAAAAAAGAGTAGGATGGATGATAATTGATACATGTGGATTGAGATGAGGTGAGATATTGGGAAGTTGTATCATACAGTATCTAATATTAAAATTTTTGAAGTTCTTTTAGAAAACTTCTAAAATTTCATTATTTCATTTTTGCTATCCTCCAATTTCGACTTCCCGGACAATATCCTCTAGTGATATACTGCAGGAGGGGGGGGGGGGGTTTTGGGATTGTCAAGTCAAAATCATGGAGTTGCAGCAGATTTTGCCAGCCAGTAAATCACGTTCAATTGCAAAATTAAAGGGCTTTCCACCTTTCTGTGAAATTGTTTCCAAATTTCTTAATTACAATGCAAATTTCAAGATAGTAAATTTTTCCCATATACAACAAAATAGGGTCAAAAAACATGGCTCGAAATCAATGATGTCTTATTTAAATTCCCGTCACATCTCAATTTCTGAGCATGCAAATGATTTTTACGGCACTGGAAAGGAGCTTTCTCGTGATTCATACAATGAAACAATATGTGAGTTGTGCAAAGAAGGAGATATTGATAGTGCCATGACATTGGTTTCACAAATGGAGGCTCTAGGATACCACCCAAATTCAATATCTTACACTTGCTTGATAACAGCTCTTGGAAGTATTGGCAGGACATTAGAAGCGGATGCAATTTTCAATGAAATGATACTTTCGAATTGTAGGCCAGGAATTAAAGTGTTCAATGCATTGCTCAAAAGTTGTTTAAGAAAAGGCCTCTTGGAGCTTGCAGATAAAGTCTCGAGAGTATTGGATGATTCGGGTTTGGTAAGAAATCGCGAAACATTTGAAATCCTTATTGACTATTATGTTCACGCCGGTAGGTTGAAGGATACTTGGTTAGTCATTTCTCAGATGAAGAGGAAGGAGTACCAGCTAGATTCTTTTGTGTACAGTAAGATTATTGAACTTTATAGAGACAATGGGATGTGGAAGAAAGCAATTGCGATTATGCGGGAGATTCGGGAGATGGGGATACCAATGGATAGGAGAATATATAACAGCATCATTGATACATTTGGAAAATACGGAGAATTAGAAGAAGCATTGGAAATTTTTGAGAGAATGCAACAAGAAGGTATTGTGCCTGATGTCAGGACATGGAATTCGTTGATTCAATGGAATTGCAAATTCGGGAACTTAGGTAGTGCTCTGGATTTGTTTAGTAAGATGCTGGAACAAGGGATATATCCTGATCCGAAGATCTTCGTTACTATAATAACACGCTTAGGGGAGCAGGGGAAGTGGGATAGCATGAAGAATATTTTTGAGAATTTGAAAGGCAGAGGACATCAGAGGAGTGGTGCAATTTATGCCGTTTTGGTTGATATTTATGGGCATTATGGGAAATTCCAAAATGCTGAAGATTGCATAAGCACATTAAAATTGGAAGGTCTAGAGCTTTCACCGAGCATATTTTGTGTTCTGGCAAATGCTTATGCTCAGCAGGTTACTTTATACCTCTTCAATCTATGTATGTTCTGACAAAATTTGATCTTGGCTTGCATGGTGATTTTGTCATATTTACAATGCAGGGCTTGTGTGAGCAAACTGTTAGGGTTCTGCAACTCATGGAAGCAGAAGGAATGGAACCAAACCTGATAATGCTAAATGTGTTGATCAATGCTTTTGGTACTGCTGGAAGGCATATGGAGGCACTATCGATTTATCGTCACATAAGAGAGAGCGTAAGATTTAGCTCAATGATTTAATCATTGTTTAAATATGCATTTTTCTTAACTAATAGTGGTGTTATCACTCTTGAAGGGCATCAGTCCAGATGTAGTTACTTACAGTACACTTATGAAGGCATTTATACGGGCTCGGAAGTTTGATCTGGTGCGTGCTATCTCTTCTTGAAGCTGACTACCATCAAATGTACTATTTCATTCTATCTTCACTAGTCTTTGCCAAATTTTCAATGGAGGAATTAAAACTCTAGTGTTCTTAAGGTGGCAGGCTAACATTCGAAAATGCTAGATAGCTAATCTGTCAGTATTGCTCTTTGATCCACAGCTTATATATTATCCTTTGTTTTCTATACAAGTTTTATCTTTGAATCCTCCTTACTTTCATTGAACTCCCTCTGACTTCCCTGAGATACATTTGAACAACACCCGCTTCCCCATATGTAAAGTTTTGCTTTTATTGTGAATTGCAATTCCCACCTATTTCTTCTGACATCCTTCAGTTTGTGAACCTTAATGTAATAGAAAGGAATGAATGAAAAATAGAAGAATGAGTTTTATGTGGCTCCCTCTGACTTCCCTGAGATACATTTGAACAACACCCGCTTCCCCATATGTAAAGTTTTGCTTTTATTGTGAATTGCAATTCCCACCTATTTCTTCTGACATCCTTCAGTTTGTGAACCTTAATGTAATAGAAAGGAATGAATGAAAAATAGAAGAATGAGTTTTATGTGGCTCAGAAGTGTTATTTAATTACATCTAGTTAATATTCAATGCCCCATAAAATTTGGCCCTTTTTGGGTTTGTACCAGAAGATGGTGCCGACCAGTTAATAGTATTAAAAGCATGAACAACTTCAGTTTCTAAATTTATACCCTGCTTTAATCAAAGTTTCTTCTGTTGGTTGCCCGTCAGGTCCCTAAGATATATAGTGAGATGGAATCTTTTGGATGTTCACCAGATAGAAAAGCTAGAGAAATGCTGAAATCTGCTTTGATGGTTCTTGAACAGAAACATTATCAGCATATTCAATAAGCTTTAGTTGGTTTAGGGACTGTGGTTATCTGCTACTTATTACAAAAGACTTCCACTAGAGTCGATATGAAGAGTCCTACTGTTACTTGGGGTTTGTCAGGAATCCTGGACAAGTTTGAGGAGCTCAAGTAAGTCACTAATCCTTAATTTCATAACTACTGTTTTTTCTTGCGTTTTTCCTGTCTTTCTTGCTACATATTGTCCATCGACTTATTTGTTCTAATTTTTCGTGTGATGAAATTTTTTTATCAAATATTTATTTTGACAATTTGGCTACTTAGTTGGAATGATGCTTTAATTGTCTCTTTTCCTCAGATATTGCTACTTCCCTTGTGGATTGGCTGCTCTATGATGCCTCAAGGTTTGTGAAGAAACTTGGTCCCTAGTAGAGTCATGTGTTCAGTAAAAGCTCTAAAATGTAATTGGTCTTCTCATAACTAATATTTGTTAATTTAGTAATGTTTAATAATTATTGACATGTTTTGGGATCAATATTACTAATGCCCAATAATTAATATCAATTAGGAAAAATCTTTTCTAGGTTTCACTATTAGAAACGGGAGTCTAATGTGTAAATATGAAGAACTTTCAACTAAAACTTTGGTGATGCATTTTCTAAAATTGAGATATGTGTGAGCAACTTGGTTGCTATCATTTTTAAATGTGAGAAATGTGGTTTTCAGAATATCAGCACTCGGATTGAAATATATGAAAATTTCCTTTTCTATTTGTTTTTTGGCAATTAAAGTATGAATCGTTTTACTTTGGAGAATACATTTTGAAGGACCATTTAATGCTTAAGTGATAAATAAATATTTCATTTTCTCTAAAAGCTCTTCTAACCCAACAAAGCACTTCCAGAAAAATATCAAAACATGTTCAAAATCAACTCTTAGAAGCAGCTTTTAACTTTTCGGAAGTCTTGTCAAATGAGTCCCAAATCATTTACCTATACCTTATACCACGCCATCCCAGGAGCTTTCAATAAGATCAGATATCAGTAACATATGAGCAAAAGGTTCCAATTACTTCCTTTACACCATTGACAAACAAGCTACCAAAAAATTCTGTGTACGACGAGATATGGGTGGAAGGGTCTATTTGTCCTAATTCCAGTTTCAATTTGAGGCTTAGAGTATATGATATGGAAATCAGAACAATTTTTGTAGTTTTCCCTTTCTTTTGAATTTACCTAGATCACATTAGAGTATGACTTCCATAATTTGGATATAGATGAAACATAAGTTACTGATATATTTAAAACATTGCTGTAATTTTCTTCAATGCTAGCCCAGTAAAAAACTCAATACTTTGTCATTTCTCATACCATCACTTTTCTCGACTCTATAGTAGATTGTCATGGTGCTTGCTATTTTTTTGTGTTGGTGACATTGTATCAATGCAATAAATGAAATTTGGTGCAAGATTATATAAGTTGAACTCCCAAGATATTTCCAGTTGAATCACTTGCTATTTCCACTCAAAATATGCAATTTAATGTAATTTTTTGGCTACAAACTGAATCACATCGGAAAGAGTTCAGTTTCTGCATTCCAAGAGGCTAATTCTGTTATGCTGCTTCACAAAATAACGATTGTTAAGCTCTCTCCCTTTTGCTGTATACTTCATGGACGAATTCCCATGTCTTTCTGTCTTAAATTCTCTTCCGTTGAAGTTGGGAATCCTTAACATGTCTCTGTCACCTGGTAATGCATATTGCTCTTTGATGACTTTCATATCTATTCGAATCAGAATTTTGAGAAATTCTCTATAAACGGTGATGTGGCTGATTAACAGGAAGCATCTTAATGAGTTTTTTTTGTTGCATAACTTTTATCACACTTTAGTTGCTCTTTACGCCACTTAATGTACCATGAAAGTTACTCTCTGCACTTGTTCTTAACGACACCAAGCATGAATATATTCTCATGTTTGATTTTTCTGCTTTTGCTAATCAAAAGACAAAGCTAATAGATGAATTTTTCTTCCTTTATGATTCGCTAGTCTGCTTTTAGATATGAGCCACTTTCCACGTTGATGAATTGTTATGGTAATGTGTGGACCGTGTACTTCAAATTTTTGAAGTTGCCTTTTTTGACTATATAACTTATTAAATACGAAATTTTAAATTACTTTGAGACTATTTAGGAGGATTTTTACTGTTGCTTTTGCTTTTTATAGAAGAGTTTTGAGAAAAAGTTATTTTATGTCATTTTTTTTTTTTAAAAACTCTTTTAATTAGACATAACAGTTTTAAAAAATTATTTAGAAAGATTCAAAAGTAGTTTCTCAGTATTAAAAGTAGTTTTTGACTTTTCGAAATTTAAGCCCTTAGTAGAGCACATCAACGTTCATGTAATCTAATCCACAAATCAAAGGTTTTAGATTTTTTTTTTGACGTAGATACTTTTTCTGAGGCTAAAGAGAGTCATCTCAAGAGTGATGCCAAACTACCTTATCTTTCATTACACAATCTTATCTCATATTAATTTTGCCAACGAAGTGGCAGGTTAGGGATTTATGACTGGTAATAACTGATTCAACATGTGCTGCTGCTTGCTATTGCCAACAAAAATACTGTCAAATTTGTGATTTGTAATCTTACCCTCAATCTAGGCTGCTTGCGATCATGGAAAATGTGACAACCGGTAAATTTTGTCACGTGTTTTCTATTTGGGAATCACCATCCAAACATCCCCATTTGAGGTACCAAGATCCAGACCTGGAAGGACATGGCATTAGCGTTCAACTTCATCAATGTAGGACGATGTCACATATAGACTCAGGTTAACTGAACATTGACAACCTAAACTGATTGTTTCTTCATTAATGCTTTAGTTATATTCTTCACAAATTGAGAAGCCATAACCACTATGTTTCCATAAGAATAAAGTGACAAATAAAAGTAAACAAATTCTTTCACAAAGCATAACACTGATATAACATCCAGCCATAAGTACACAACTACTAAGTAGTAACAGCTTTGGTTAAAAGCAAGTTCCAGCTAGCTACTCACAAGATTATAGACATCAAAGCAGTATTATTCCACTGTACTACATATAGCTATATATGTATGTGTGCTAGCTCACGAATATAGCCTCCACAATGAACTTATTTATAATAGGATAACTCAAGGATGGGGTGGTTTCTCCAAATCCTCGACCTCAAGAGGACGGAAAAAGGCCTTCTGTTCCAAGACCGAATCTTCACCGATACTTCCAATTGCAGCAGTGCCTGCAGTTGGTTTGTGATCAGTTTCTGGGCCAAACACGCCAGTCTGCGGGTTAGGAGCCCAGTATTTGTCAGAGTGGGATGCGATTACATCGTCTGGTACCACAGTAGGGCGGACATGCTCCTCTGGGTTCTTGTCATAAACTGAAACGTGCACCCTCCTACAAGTTGAGGTAAAATCATCACAAGTTAATAATCACCGAGCAACAAATAATAGAAACAAGGATCAAAAATTGTAAAATCACGTAATATTATACAGGGAAAAAAAAATGAATACTTGAACATGGCAGTAAATCTAGGCACGTCACAATTGTATAAATCTTCTTTGAAGGAAAATTTATAGTTCACTCCAAACTAAATTTGCCACCCTCCATCCCTATGCATGAAATTAAATTTAGAGAACTTAAAATAAAATAAAATAAAATAAAAATTCAAAAACTCTATACTACTAAACTTTAATGATAGGTTTGTTTTTGTAACACGTTAGAGTAGTCAGTGTCCATAGGGTTGGGATATTAGTCTCATGATCAGGGAAAAACAAATAATGAGATAAGGACTAGCCACCAACCAAGCTTCATTCCTTTATTAATGAACATAAGATATTAGCACATTTCCACGGTTGATGTTTGATATAGGTGAAAGAAAAGCTGTAAAGTGTAAACAAAACAAGGATACATACAGAACAAACAATGATGATGACTCCATATCCTATCAGATGGTAGTGGGGTCCTAATATTGAAAAAGAGGAGGAGATAGTGATCATAATATTAATTATTTTATAAATGTCCAATTCAAATAGGGGACCCAAAAGAAAATTAATTTTGAAATATATAATATGGCAGCGAAGAGACGACACGAATTCAGCAGTGTGTTACAGATAATAAGACCTTGAATCAAGGACTAAGATTGAAGAAATTTACAAGGTTACAACCATATCAAGTAAATTCGTTTCTGGTTTAAAAGAAAGTAAATTCAATCAATTTTGATTCGCATGTCATATCTAATCCTGTGCATATTAATCAGGTATGCAATAATACAGGAAATTCTAAGATGCAAAGTTTATGCAACAGATCTATGGCAAGGAGCCCAAGGACCATGAAAAAGTAGGTGCACAAGAAATATCCTTCAACAAGCTCATATGAAGTGGAATCATGCTATTTGTACAAACTAGGTTGACAAACTATGTGTTGACAACATGTAGGCTAATCATTTCAAAACAATTTTTGAAATCAATGGTCTAGATCTTGTCAACACTTAGTTTGTAAACCAGATTAATTCTATGAAGTGAGAGGCATCCAATCAAATCATAACCAATGTTTTTGCTTCAAAAAGGCACATTCACTCCAACCCAACATGTCAAAGTGCTAGGCAGTACACATTTTTCTTAACAATTAACGTGTGCCATGAGTCGTACCTAATTCATCTTTATTATCACCTAATTTATTAAACTAAATGTTCAGTTTCTAGACTTCTTTAACATGATCTCAACATTTCCAAGCACACAGAGGTAATCTTTTGTATTACATCTCAAATGACGAAGCTTGAATTTATACTACTTGGCCGTTCTCGGGAAAATCCCCACGCAAGCACAAAATTTAAGAATTTGTTCTGATTCAGCAAATTCCCATTTTAAGACCAAGTACTAATTAAGAATTCATTCATAAATCTCAATTAATATTAAAAATTCAGTTAGTAAACATGCAGGCGACTCATTTTCTACATATTGTGCAAATAAAGATAAAGTACAAGGCTTATATGGGTGTCGAGTAACATGTAAACAAATTTAAAAGAGGAGGACAAAATTAAATATATGAAAAAGGAGGAAAAAAATATTCAATACACCTCCATAATATACCACCTTGGTTTATGCTTTATTTTTTAGACACAGTGGTTCATGCTGCTTATAGTAATTAAGTCATTTATCTTAAAAATAAGTACACTAATTTTAAGATAAGTTCACGAAAGTAACTGGAAATAATCAAAGAACAATTCCAAAACACTCACATGGGCAGGTCCATGTAAGTAAAATATTGCAAAAGTATCCCACGCACCCCACTATTGTGAATATTCTCGAGAAATGAACCCCTTCCTGTACACTAAGCATTCTTCAATGTGAATTAATCTATATGTATAGACCAATTGTTCACAAAACAATTCCAAAATACTCACATGGGTGGGCTCCATGTGAATAAAATATTGCAAAAAAATCACACCCACCCCTATATTGTAAGTATTCTAAAGGGGTTCTGTGAACTCTACACCAAGCATTCTTTCCTTTTTGCAATATTTTACTCACATGGGGCCCATCTATGTAAGTATTCTAAAATTGTTCCATCAACAATTAGTCTGTGTAGGGAGGTATTCACATAGCCCCTCTAGAATATTCATAATAAGGGAGTGTGAGAGATTTTTATTTTTATTTTGTAATATTTTACTCACTTGAGGCTACCCATATGAGTATTCTAGAATTGTTATGTGAACAATTATTCCTCCAGAATACTCACAACAAGGGGTAGGTGAATTTTTTTTTTTTGGCAATATTTTACTCACACGAGACCACCAACGTGAGTACTATAAAATTGTTATGTGAACAATTAGTATGTACACACAGACTAATTCACATTGAAAAATGCTTGGTGTACAAGAAATCCCTCCTGAATGCTCACAATAGGGGGTGGGTGGGATTTTTTTTTGTAATGTTTTACTCGTATGGGGATAACCCATGTGAGTAATCTGGAATTGCTCTGTGAGATTAATTCCAAAAAAAATCTCACACATCGCCTATTGCGAGTATTCTGGACCGCTCCCTGCACACCAAGCATTCCTCTGTCACCAAACATGCTCTTGGGTGGCAATAGCTTGTCAATCAATCATGCTATGGTGATCGAATTTTGTTGACATAATAGATGACCAATACTCACATAGGAAAGGGTGCGTTGTAAGAGAATGTCAGCTATTATGTCAAAATAATTCTGAGAAAGTAGTTTAATTGACTTGTCAATATCCACTGTCACCCACCAATTACGAAAAGTAGTATTTTAATATATTTAAGGTAAGAAATATCTCGAAACGTCCCATAATAAATTGGACTTGCGAGCAAAAATCTCAAACACATTAAGCCCCCATTTGGCCCCTCGTTAATTTTCATTCTATTACATTTTCTTTTTCTTTTTCCTATTTTTAACCGTACAATCTTCCATAAAATGACATTATACATAAATCGAAAAATTTTCTTTCTTTTTCAACCATTCATTTTTCTAAAAAAACACTATCTCTCTCATTTTCATTTCCAAAAAATAGGGCCAAACAAGAGCTAACGTGAAAATATCTCGAAAGAAAGACGAGAACTCAACACCCTAAAGGCCTATTTGTGCCCCCCTTTAAATTCAAAAAGTGTATTATGGAATAGCGATTGATATTGAAACGTGTGGTTTAAAAAATAATAATAATAATTTTTTATTTATGAATAATATTATTTTAATGAAAAATGTATAATTGAAAATGAATACCTTAAGAAAAATAATGTGATAGAATGTGAAGCAGAATGGTTGACAAATAAGGGCTAAAGTGTGAAAATATCATAAATAATGACGTCAAAAATACGGTTGAATAATGGCGTAGAAATTGATTTCCCGTTTTAACTGTAAACAAATTAAAAAAGGGGAAGAAATTCAATATTGAACGGAAGAGTTCGTTAAGAAAAAAACTTTGAATATGGCAAAATTACCATTAAAATGAGGCCGATGTACTCAAAATTCGCATGTGTGTGTCTGTGTGCAGCGCCGTAACTTCTAATTTTGATCATCCAAAAAATTTCTCAAAAAATACCGTTCCGACTTTGTCTACACAAGCACAAAGAAATTCGTGTGTGTAAATTGTTTCCGGGGAAAACACATCCAGAAAAGCACTACATTCACGGAGTCCATAAGATCGCCATCACAGCCTACAACTCACTCAGGGTATCAATTAATTGTTTTCTACAGAGATGCAAAATAATCGGAATAAAAACACAGTAAAGTCAGTAGTTAAATTTCACCATCAAACACCAAAAACCAAAATTCATACACTATATACCTGAAAGAGAGAAAAGTGGTTGGGAGTAGAGTAGAATCACGCGGAACGATCTGGCTTACAAATCGCTTTCCAAAACTCGCCAGTTTCCGATTATGCAAATTAGCTGCTGCCATACAAATCACAAACCCTTTTACTAACAGATTTTAGAGAGAGAAAATAGAAATACAGAGCTTATATCCAAATAATTATGTGATAAACCCTTCTTATAGTGTGGAGTTGGTTGGTGACCGTGTGTATTAAAAAATCTGTCTCCTTCCCGGTCCGCACCTACCCCGTACTATGGAGTACCCGGTTCCGTCCAACAATTGGACGGCTACCGTCACAATTAACGGAGCAATCAAGGGACTGTTTGGATACCTTTGAAAGTTGTTTTTGTTCAAGTTCAAACTTCTTAATTCATTGCTTTTAGAACATTTTTGGCTGAACTTGAAAAATTGATAATGCCCTTGTTTGAGCCCCATTTTTAGAGGGAAAATGAATTTTTGAATTATGTATTGATTGGAAATGTGTGATTAAAAAGGGTAATTGGCGCAAAACATCCTTAACTTTCGAAATTATTGTGGAAAACGTTCCTACCTTTCATTTTTTGGCATTTTTGCCCTTATTTACCACCTTTCTTGCGCTGAAGGTCCTTTTCATTGTTTTTTGACGATTTTGCCCTTTATTCAAATAAAAGAAAAAGAATAGAATAGAAAACAAAAGAATTAATTGCAACTAATACCCCAAAATTTCAAAAAATTACAAATTAGTAATAAATATAGGAGTTAATAGCCCAAATGGTTACTAAACTTTGCCAAAGGTCCAAAAAGGTCATTGAACTTTTTTAAATACAAAAAGAAAAAAAAAACCAAAAAAACCAACAAAAAAATTGAAGAAACGGGCCCCACCAACAAAAAAAAGGACAAAAAAAATAAGGAAGGTGAAAAGTAAACCAAAAATTATTTTTTATTTTTTCAATCATATATTTTTAATCAAAATTTATTGAAAATTTTATTTTTAAAAATAAAGAAAAAAAATACAGATTAGTTTTGCTAAAAATAAAATTTTCAATAAATTTTGATTAAAAATGTACGATTGAAAAAATAAAAAATAATTTTTGGTTTACTTTTCACCTTCCTCTATTTTCACATTCCTTATTTTATTTTTATTATTATTATTTTTGGTCCTTTTTTTGTTGTGGGGCCCGTTTCTTCAATTTTTTTTGTTGGTTTTTTTGGTTTTTTTTTTCTTTTTGTATTTAAAAAAGTTTAATGACCTTTTTGGACCTTTGGCAAAGTTTAGTAACTATTTGGGCTATTAACTCCTATATTTATTACTAATTTGTAATTTTTTAAAATTTTGGGGTATTAGTTGCAATTAATTCTTTTGTTTTCTATTCTATTCTTTTTCTTTTATTTGAATAGAGGGCAAAATCGTCAAAAAACAGTGAAAAGGACCTTCAACGCAAGAAAGGTGGTAAATAAGGGCAAAAATACCAAAAAATGAAAAGTAGGGACGTTTTCCTCAATAACCTCGAAAGGTAAGGATGTTTTGCGCCAATTACCCGATTAAAAAATAATGAAATTGGATTTGCATGTAATATTATTTTATTGAAAAATGTGATAAAAATAATGTCAAAATACTATTAAAAATTTTATTTTTTTCCAAAGAATGGGAATCAAACAAAAACAATGTTACTTTTATTTTCCGTACATTCCGCATTCGGAATGAGAAAGCAACTCTTTACATATCAAAATGTAATTTATTTATTTTCAACTTTAATTAATGAAAATTATTTATGTTTTAAACACACTTATTTATTAATCAAAACATTATAAGGTCACTATCAATTAAATCGTGTAAGAATTATGTGTTGTGATTTTGTGACTTCAATTACGATTTTTAAAGATGATAATAAATTTTTATTTTCAAGATGAGATTGCCTACTACGTATGATATTAAATACAAATTATACTCAAGCAAAATTTAATTTTGGAATAAAGAATCAATTGCTAAATTATTAATTATGGAATAGAATGAGCATTTTATACCCTCTAATATTGTATTTTAATTTCTGCTACAAGGATTGGTATTTCGCTAAAAATATTGATCAAAATGAAGTTAAAATTAATATTAATTATATATTTTATGAAATTCACATATTTTATTAATTTTTTATCACTATTTATTAAGCATCTATTTGGCCCCCTTTCTTTTAATTTTTAATGTATAAAATGGTATTTTGTTGGAGAATATGTGATTGAAAAAGTAGGAAAAAATTTCGATTTCCTTGTAATATTAATTTATGAAAGATTGCGTGAATAAAAAAAAAAATTTGAAAGAAAAAGAGGGTCAAAGGGGGACTAAATCTATGAGTTTTAAATAAATCAAACAGGGTCTTAATTGATGAAGTGAACCTCGTAACAACCGTTAAGTCTTATCTTCCTTATTTTTTGGTATATTTTATTGTCAGTGTGTCCCAGGAATGACACAGTGCCTAATAAATTGACTTATCTGTCCCTCAAAATAGAAGTTATTTTCTTGGTTAGCCTCACGGCATGCTTCCTTGTCTTGGTAACACGCAAGAAACGCGTATTGGGCGTAGATAAGCTGCGTGCGACCTCATTAAGCTTATTGTGATCTTTCCTACAACATATTGACAATCAACCCCTTTTCGTGTTTAGATTAAAAATTTGTTACTACTTAACTTTAATCATACTATAAAGATCTACAATTTTTCAATTACAAATTTTATTAATTTTTATTAAAAATTGCTAAAAACTTAGATTTTAATTAACCAAACAAGGGCTGAGTTAATGTTAGGCGCCACACCTCATCTTACGGCTTTGTAGAGACAATCATTTGGTAAAATCGGGTGATCGCTTTAGACTAAGGTTTTGTTTGACTAGCATTCTTTCAAAAAAATATATTCTTAAATGGTAATTTGATATCATTTTAATCACATATTTTTCAATAAAATAATATTACACTTAAATAAAAAAATTCTTATTTTTTATTTTTTAACAACATATTCTCCATTAATCTACTATTATAAAATACGTTCTTTCAAAATTATGTGGCTCACACACTAGATCTAAAAAAGAATAGTTATATAATTCCTTCGTCGTATTTATATAGGCCGACTTTTCTTATACTATTATTCCAATTATACAGTCATGTTCTTTATTGAGAATGTTTTATTTTATTTGTGTACTAATATACAATTATTTAATTTGTCTAATTATAAACAACTTTTCCTACTTGATCTTAAAATTGTACAAATAAAAATAAGGGTATTTGACAAAAATTGCATTTTCAACAACATTAAATAAGATTTTTTACTTCACGTTAAAAACAAAATTAGCATGTATAAATGAGACGGAGGGAGGATTAATCAAAAGTAAAAATTAATTCACCTCAATTTGAAATGAAAAGTGCTATACAACCAGATTCATTTGAACAGGTTACTCACAAATGAGAAGGGTCCCACCCAATTAAAAAATGGCACAAATAATATTATTGTGAGTAATCTGTACACAATCTGTTTAAATGAATATGTTAGAATAACTTTTTCCATCTGGTATTTTAGCTCTGTTCTCTGGTCAATTGCCAAATTGTGGAGGGACTACTCTCGACTATCTTAGATTTGATGAGTTAAATGTTAAGTAATTAGGTTCATAGTTTGATCATAAAATAGTCACGTCTTTCAAATTGTTTTCTTTTCATTTTACGAAAAAACAAAAAATTGTAGGTGATGGCACGTCCTGCTTCTCTATTTAGAAAGACTTGCTCCTGTTTGGTTCCAATTAAAATTATAATTCATTTTTCTCTTTTTATCAATTATATATTTTTCAATAAAATAATATTACACGAAATTCACAAATTTCTATTCTTTTTTAACAACGTATTATTTAAAAAATCACTATTTTAAAATACATTTTTCCCAAATTGTCATTATAATGGAGCCCAGACAAGGGCTTTATTCTATTATGCCCATTTTTGGTTTAGATAAAAAATTAATTTTTTATTAAATCTTGATAAAAATTAATGAAATAAGGGATTGAGAAGTTGTAAATCATATGAAATATATGGTTAGAGTTAATTGTAGACTTTCGATTTATTTTTAATCTAACATTTTTAGTGGAATCAAATATGAACTATATTAATAGATGGGAAGCAAAATAAGAAAGATAAAAAAAAAAAATTGAATAATTAATATTTATAGACATTTCGTGTTTATTTCTAGATTTTTGTTGTGATATTTCCATCATCACAGTATGAAAGATTCAAAATAGCAAATGTTCGGACAATTTTCACAGACATACGGGATCTTTGAAAAATAAAAGATTAGATAAGTGAAGAGTATCGTCTCATAAGAATAAAACTTAAATTGAATTTTAACAAATTCGAATGTAAATAATAAATGAGAGTGTTTGATTATATACCTAAATCAAGCTATTAATTAATTAAAATTATTTTTAAATAAATATGGATAAATGTGTTGAAATTTTGAATCCACTTATTATTATTATCTAATTTTCAATTCTTAATTATGTAATTTTGTTTTCATTATTGCATGTGTTGGCAATCGACAGTCCTATAGTACTCAACATTCTTTTTCAATATAAATTAATTTTATTCTAAACACGACTGAATCTTATTCCTAATCTGAACTCAAATGAGTACAACACATTTAATTACACGATTATCTAGGTGGATAACGTATTCAATAATAATTATTGAGGTGATTGCACATGTAATATTGTTATTTATAACATTTGTTGTCAATGTGTTAATCATGCAATGTTCTACTTTCATCATTACAATAAGCAACTAATTACCTTGTTAGTTATCAAGCAATTAAATAATGCAACGAGCATG